ACCAAAGGACCGCCCTTATGGAAGCAAGTGCATGAAAGCAGGAAAGCACATTACACCCTACGACATGTAAAACATTCAACGACGCAACGTGAGGTCGTTGTCGTATCGCTGGCACGCTATCCAAGTCAAGTCATCAAGTTTTGCAACTTGGTTAGTCAGCTCGGGGCAAGGTGACCATTGCACGCAGACATGGAGGAGATGGTAAGTTTAACTTCCTCTTGCTCAACTTGTTGATTGATTCATTCACTCCATGTTGGTCTACACATTATATGTAGCCCGCACGTGCCATCGTGGTGTACCACATGTCAGAGGGACGGTCATTTACGTGCATACACTGTTGGATGAAGCTGAAGTGGAAGTATGTGTAAGAGGATATGATCCGTTCATGAAAAATTTGTTGGACATCCGAGATCTAGTCGAATTTGAGACCTTGTTGTACTAGATTTATTTTGCATGTTATGTGCTATTTTCTATCTGAACTTCAATGAATATCGGCCGGTTTGCATGAATTTCGTCTGCTTTGTTAAAATACGGTTTGAAATGTATGCGACTAGCGTTGGATGGCTGCCTCCCGCATCTGTGTCCGCGGACGGATGTGGGGGTATATTTGCAGGTTGCCGTTGGAGATGCCCTAGCTCCTCGTATTTTACAGTTTCGTAGCAAAGCATGGGCATTGTGCTAGTATTTAAAAATATTAGAGAATAAAAGAAATCACAAACTAGAAAACATATTCTTGAATATGAAAAATATTAGAGAATTAAAATAATGTTCATAATTCAAAACTAATTGAGAATATGGAAATTTTTATCATATTAAAAAATGTTCAGGAACTCAAAAAGTGTTTAAAAAAATAAAAAGGTAATCATGAATTATCATTTTTAAAATTCAAACAATTTTCAATATTTTGAAATATTTCATGAATTTGAAAAACAAATAATGAGTTTAAAACTCATTCAAAAATTTGTAAAAATGTTCACAAATTTGAAAATGTTTGGGGATTAGAAAGAAGTGTTCACAAATCTAGGTAAAAACTTACGGAGTTTGAAAAAAATATTCACAAACTCAAGTGTTCGCAAATTTGAAAAACATTCATGAACTCAATTTGTTTTGAATTTAAATAAAAATCATGGATTCGAAACATGTTCAAGAATTTGAAAAAATATTATGAACTCATAAAAAAAATGTTCACGAACTGTAAAACTGTTGGCAAGTCAAAGAAATGTTCTTGAATTTTAAATAAAATGTTCACGAGTTTTACAAATGTTAGTGAACTTGAATAAATATTTACGCACTCTGAAAATCTCTGGGAAGTCAAAATATATTCGCAATGTTTAAAAAGTATACGCTGATATAAAATATATTGACAAATACGAAGGATGATCAGAGATTTAGAAAAAAATTACTAATCTTCTCTTTTTTTTTACTAATTTGAAGTAAAATGTTCAACATATTAAAAATTGACCCTGTATGGAAATATGCCTGTTGCTTATTAAAAAATATACATCAGATAGATATAAATTTTTCATGTGTTTTAGAAATAAGCTAGAAAAGAAAAATTAAAAGTGAAAACGGAAACAAGAAAATAGTGAAATAAGAAAATAATAAATAAATAGAAAAAAAATCTAAAGGGTATTGAAAGTTTAAAAGAAACACAAAAAGGGGATATAAAAAGATAAAGAAACAATGAAAACGGAAACCTAAATAAAAAAATGATCTTAGACGCTAGACCATTCCTGGAACGACAGCATAAGTTTCCACAAAAAAAAAACAGCATAAGTTTCCACAAAAAAAGGCTTAAGTTTGCCAAGGGAACGCACACGATCTTTTTGTTTTGTTTAGGCCCCTCCCAGTGCTCCACTTTGTACATGTGCTAAGGCTGTTATGTAGGCAGCAAAGATGATGTGGCAAGATAATTAAGATGAGAGAGATGAGTGTGATGACCCCAGAAAGAAACAATGCCAAACACGAGAACCTAGAAAAAATACTTAAATGAAAGGAGCCCACCAATGAATGAATAGCTTTAGTTGCTAGATCATTAAGTAAAAAAAATGCTTAGCTACAACAAGTTAAGCACCTTTGCATTGGGATTTTAGTTGCTTAGCTCGTTGACGTGCTTAGCACCCTGGAGGAGGTCTTACTCAGCCTGCCTAGAAACCATTGCTTATTACAAGCTATACATATCATTTCTGGTACCTATTGGCTACAGCTTTCTTTTTGCTGCGGAAGTCGGCAGTCCTACAGCTTAGACTTACTTTATTCTCTGATACATAGCTTGTGCGGTGTATAAAGTGAGTATAACAAGGACATCGTGCTCGCTCATATCTAACGCAAACAACCAGAATCAAGTTCCATCACACAAAGCTCAGTTTTCGGACGATACTTGCATACCCAAACAAGCATCACTCTTTGGAATCTCCCTCCTTTGTATCCCAAAAGGAGGAGCCCCCCGTACTATAAACAGACCCTTGCACGTCAATTTTGCACAAAGCGTCACATACATGCATCTCACTACACTAGTTTCTAACCTACTCCCATAATATATGCTGTTTTAGCAGTTTTTTTAGTTGAAACCTTAAAATATGTATAAATACAGGTAAATCAAAAACCAAAAAATTAACCAATCTCTGCTCTAGGAAACATAAAGAAATTTAAAGATGTTGTTCAGACCAGATCCTGATACTATCAACAGTTCAGTTTAAGCTGCTAAAATGGCATATATTATGGTACAGAAGGAGTAAATAATTGAATAGGCACCATCACCATGCCATGCATGGCTCATTCTTCTCACCAATTATTCAAGCCAGTGATTCGAGCTCATAGAAGAACTGAAGAAGCAACAAGCCTTGCATTAGAAAAATCAATATGTATATGGTTTATATGAGATCACCTGAACATAAGATACAACCAGATAATGAGCAATTGAACTCACAGATAAAATAGCCCCAAACAAATGAGAGATTAGAACCAGTGACATACGCCTTAATATTCTTGCCGAAGTTGTAGTCGATCTCGTCTTTATTGTGCCACCATAGCTTTCGCCAACAATGGAAAACATAGGAAATTCATCCACTTAAGTACTTACAAGGCATGTAAAAGAACTAAACTCATTTAATCGGCGCAATACTACACCACCACGTAAGACGGAGATTCGCAAATGGGCCAAGCATATTGGCAATGGCACCAGCCTGTTCCGGGCAAGCAGTCGGTCCATATCGTGAGACCATGCCGATGATCTTGCTCACAAAATCTCGGAAGAAAAGGTTGTTGAACAAGACGATGTTTTCCCGGACCATGCCTATTGAACATTCCACAATGAGTCTCTGGTTCGCTGCGAACGTGTCCCAGTGCATGATCTCCTTGCACATGGAGGCATGAAATAAACTAGACACCCAATGGCGGCGTTGTTCAACCTACTTCCTAATGTCACGCCGATGATAATCTATTTGGCCGCGTTCCCAAGCATGCTGGACCCCGACACGGGCGGCCGCTCGACCGACACAAGCACGGTCGTAGGCTCCTCCTCCATCAGCCTGTCATCGTCTGTCTCGTCCTCCATGGGCTTAGACTCCTCCACCTCCTCCTCCACGGGCTGGACCTTCTCCCACCGACGACATAGATCAATCCAGACGAGAAAAAAAAGCATCGCCGTTGGGAATGGGCAAGGGCCCTCCGGAGCAAGACCTGCAAAGCGAAGGGAGAGGGCAGTGAGAGTGCGCTAGGTCTGAATTGTGCGTAAAACAATAAACTTATAGAAAAATGTAACCGTCGCAAAAAAAAACTATAACGCCCAAGACACAAGAAAAAGACTGTAACACCGATG